ATATATATANATATATATATATATATATTATGTATATATATATATATATATATATTTATATATATGTTTTTATATATGTATATATATATATATATTTGTATATACATGCATATATATATATATATATATGTGTGTATATACACATATATTGCTATATCTATATCGATTTCTATATCTATAGCTATATCTTTATCTATATTTGTCTCTATAGCTATATATATCTAAATCTATATATATATTTATATCTTATTTATATCCCTATTTATATCGATATTCACATATCTATATTATAGATTTGACCCGCAATACTAATCGGTTCGAATGGAAGCCGGAATTCTCGTTCCGAATTCTCATTTGTGGTAGTTTAGAGAGTATTGTAGACTCAGCATCAGTGTTAGTTTCGGAACATACGATTGGTATTTAGAGCAGAGTTTCCTTCTTGCTTTTTATTCTCTCTTTTTTCTAGTATAGCGAGGTACACTTGCATATCATGACGAAAATGTTACGCGCATTATGAAGCGTTTAGTTGTAATAAATAGTTTTTTGATCGCGTACCAATATATTGGACCGTTTTTATCTATTGGTTATGTAAGCAGCACTTCCAAGGCTCCTGACTATTCTCCAGGGGATACGACATAATCGATTTCAGCGTAGGAGTTGCTCTATATGACATGGTTGAAAGATCAACAATTCTGTAGTTAGTCTTCGCTGAGAATTTGAGGCGATCGTCAGAATGAATGTTTCAAAACGTACTCTTGTTTTGAAAAATTGGAAGTTGGTACAAGTCTTTCCAGGTGAACTCTGGAAGTATAAGTGCAGCTAATCCCAGGGCGTTCGGCTACTACCAGGCTGACTGCCACCAGCTGTTGCATCAGCATCCATAGCTCCAACGCATTCATTCCCGTAGAGCTGAATACTGAAGTGGTTTTTTTGTTGGAAATATTAATTATTCAGATACTGAACATCCTACAAATAAAGAGCTTTATAGAACTTTAGAGTCTATCCCTGGCTGGCTACTGTGTTGGATTCAATTGCGGTATGATCACGAAGAAAAAAGTATAATAATTTCGTGTGAGTTGCTCCGAGATATTCAAATTAAAGGAGGCTGGAGAAGCGGCATACTTTGTTTGCTAAATACCTAAACGTTCGTATTTTTTCAACTGTGGCTAGATGCTCCTCAGTCATGGTAGTCCACATCGCTCTCGAAACCAAAGATGCATTTCACCCAGAAGCTGCTCGCCCGTATGAGAATGCCGCAGGCGATTTTCACTCGCAATTAGAAATGATTAGTGTCATGATCTAGGCAGACAGCGAGCGTTTATTCTAGTGAGAGTCGCGGCGCTAATTTTCTCTTTAAATGGAGTGAGTGTCTTCGCTGATGTCCCGACGATGTAGCTTCTCCTCTCCCCGGTGTACGGCACTTCGGGACCAGACTTCCCTGATAAAAGGAACTAGGCGTGTGCTTCGTATGAGTTTCTCCGCTCTGTAATAGTATGTATATGTCGCAAATACTGAGCGCTCTCATCGAGATCGTGCGCTTCCTGCTGACGGGAGCTGCGGAAGGTGTTTCTCTGCTCTATGATCCAGTATCTCCTCTCTCTGCTGCAGTTGAATTACCATGTATTGTCCGTCTCGATGCTAGTGCCATCGGTGTAATAGCCTAGGTTGGTTAGCTTGAGCCGCTGGTCGCGCTTGCCCCTTCCGGTACTCCTAGGGACTGAACTCCAGCTCCATGCGGAGCGCAGTGAGCGCCTCGTATGAGCTCCTACACTTGCAATATTACGCGATATTTGCTCCCATGACCATAGTGAGCTTTCTGCCAGTCGAAGTTGTGGCAGGAGAAATTCTACCTGGACGAAGGAGTGGCTGTCCTCCTTGACAGCCCTACGATACAGCATCTCCTCCCTCTACTTGCTTCCCCGTATATGGACTCTTTGGATCGACCTTCTCTGATAGGAGGAGCGAGTTGAGCGCCTTTTACGAGGCACTCCGCTCTGCATCACTGTGCCCTACGTAAATATATGAACTGGTGTTAGCCTACAACATATGAACATACAAATCGTTGCTAGTGTTTAACGGGATGTTGGATTGCCACTGGGAATCATGAAGCATGAAGCCAAATATAATTTTGTTGTGCGTATTGAGCAAACAACTCCGCTATAAGCAATTGCGATGTACTCTGATATTTAAATGTACGTTGAACATAGAGTATACTTACATTCACATCATTCTTCGGTAGTGATAGCCGGGGCATGGGTGGCTTGAATGCTGTTGATGTTTGGATCCGACTGTGGCGTGGTGTGACAGCCACCACCACCGCCGAGGGTATGCCTGGTATAGCAGAGTGTCCGCCGATTTCATTGCCGCTTGACTGATTAGCTTGCGCTGTTCTCAGTATCGGTGCGAAGGAGGCAGCATTTATCCGTGAGCTAGACTGTAGCGCTGTCGCTGAGGCTGGTGGGATTAATTTAGCGGTTTCGCATCCTGTAGCCAATGCTGTGCGTCTGATTGCTTCCTCTTCATTATTGACGGTTTCAAATGCTTTCTTATCTGCTTGTAGTCCTAGTGCCCCTTTTGCCACTAATATCACTTTATCATCCACGACGACGTTTCTGCCACCCATCACAAAATTGCCATTCCGTGCTATTTCATCTGCATTATCACCAGTGCTCGAGGTTTGAAGTATGGAACAGTCTTCACACACTCTGCGGTTCTCTCGATTACCAGGGGCGCTCTCGATGGTTTCCAACTGCATTGCCAGAACCCCACTGACGGGAAGACCAATTCCTGTAGCGTCTGCCTTTCCCAATCCAGCTGACCAGCTTGTTACTTGCTGGGTAGACTCATCAGTGCAGACGATATTTGTGCCATTATTCAAAGGTCTGCTCCTGAGCATGGGCTTTCTGCTTATATTTGGTTTTTGTAGTGTACTCATACTACTAGTTGATATGCCCGTGAAGTTCGCTACTTCTGAATTGATAGGAAATCCGGACTTAGGTCCATTGGGCCCACCATTTTTGAATTTGGGCAGTTTAAATGGTGCGATGCCTCCAAACCCTTTCATACTCGGTGTATCTTTGCCTACTGGCTGATATGAGTTTTTTCTGAGAGTAGAATTTCCAGTCGAGCGCAAGCTTTGCAATTGGCAAACATCGTCGCTGGCGGTAAGGGCTTCCAGTCCGCTCAGTATGGGACCGAACTTTGCTCGGGATTCCTCCAATTTCTGTTGTGACACAACCACGACTTTACCTCCCATGATGAAACCTGGCATGGTAGTTGGAGCAGTCTGGGCATCCTGAATGACCTCGTCACGAATACACTCTTCGGCTAGTGCCGCGACTTCGTGCTCAGAGACGCCATCAGATTTGGTCAACGTTATTGTGTTTATTTTGGCATGGGGGTCCTTGGATTCAACAACCCTTTTTGGCGCCGCCTGTGCCATTATCTCCATAAAATTCTTCTCCGCCTCGATAAACATACTATCCGTGAATTCTGGCCTCGCAGCAGGTGATGTCAGCGTACTAGCCTCGACACTGACTCGTGGGTCCTTGGTTTCGACAGATGCTGAGCCGGCAGCCTGTTCAGTGACTTTCATATCGTTGTTCTCCGCTTCGCCAAGAATGCTGCCCGAAAGTGCTGGCCTTGCCGCAGATGTAAATACCCAGGGAGCTATGTCGGCCTGAGGCTCCTTGGATTCAACAATGATATAGCTGTCGTTTTTAGCCACAACCTGAGCCATTAGCGTCCCGAAATTATTCTCAGCTTCGATAAACATGCTGTCCGTAAATGAGAGCACTGACTGACTTTCGCCCAGAGGTAAACTGTTCCCCTGCATGAAATACCAGCAGAGCGAAGTTCAATGTGGGTAATACATACTCTTACTTGAGTTTTTGCATCAATTGTAAAAAAAGCTGAACAGTACTAATGCAGAAGGGGTGGCGAAGGTTGGACAAACATAATCATGGCAAGGGAAATAAATTTACACGGCAATAGGGTCATGGCAATAGGGTTACTACGTGAGCTATTCACCGCGTTTGAAAAATCGGAAAATTTGAAATTTCGTTAGCGAGATTTGCAGGTGCTTAATACATTCCATGATATGAACCATCGTCAATAGGTGGCAGTGAACAAACACATTCATCTCGAATTAATACAATTGTATGCTTGAGCTCTACCGTTCAACATTATCGAGAAGTGAGTGCTCCACTTACCTGTATTTGGGTCGATTCAGGTTGCTCTTGTGCGGTCTGGGACTGACAAGAAGCTTGTTGAGTACCCGGCAAGGATGAAGGAAGTGCTGACGGACCGATTATATTTGTATCCGCATGGCAAGCGGGGTCCCTAGCACTATGTTGATGCAAACCAATAAGAGAATCAGGTACGCTAATTCCTATCCTCTGCCCGGTGAAGTCTGAACCGTGGTCTTTGATGGGCGCAAGACTGTATACCTGCGTAGGAGACAGGGTATGTGTACTGTCGCTCTGGCCTCTGGTAGGTGACATTTTCTGCACCCTGTTTGATTGCACGAAACCCATGACCTGTTTGAGTAGAATTGTAACGTTGATCAATTTTGAATTGAGTGAAAGAAGAGACTTATGCACAATGGAAAGCTTTGCGTACAATGTTGCTACACAATTCTGGTAGGTAAACCTATCATCAATGGACTATTTTGCTTACAAGTTGCGTATCGGCGGTATAAGACCCCTCCGGACAAACTCCCAGTTTTGGATCGGTATTAATGTGCCCTTGGGATCGTAGCTTCTTAGGCTCCGCCTCGTTTCTCGTGCTTGGACTCTCACTGACATCCCGCTTGTTAGTGCAATTCCTAATATCACAACTTCTCTCTGCGGATGGCATGTCTTCTTTGTTTGTGTCCGTACTATCAACAGCCACTTTGATATTGAGCAAATCAGCAGAATTTTGAATGACATGTGCATCTTTTACAACCGTGGGACTTCTTGGCATCAATCCTGCGCCCTCCGGGGTATGTTCTCTGGGTTCTGCAGCAATCATGGACGGTCTTGAAGGGATGGGCGTGCGCGAATCGCAGGTCTTTGCGCCTATCTGAGTTTCCATCTGTTGCGACCACTCTACACCTTGGGAAGCGAGGTGGGGTAGGAAGCATCCATCATCAACCTGTTCAAGGGAACATATAGTCTGCCTTTGTTATGACAACATATTTGCATGTGAAATCTTGACATTGTAAATCATAGGAGACAAAAGTGCGAACTTAATATTACCTGAGTTGCAACTGATGGTGAAAGCAAGCATACACTTCCAGCCAGAAGAAGACTGTTTTCCAAGTCATTTTCACCGCGCCCAGGCCAAAGCCCGCTTTGGCTGAGATCGGTTTGGGACTGATAGATACGATCTTCGTTCTTTGCTGAGAGTGGCGTTTCGCAAACTGATTCTGAGCAGGTAAATCAAAGGAGAATCGTGATGATGTAGACTCCACATGCTAATAACTACTCTGTTCAAAAAGTAGAATCAATGAATTCAAAAAGCACATACTGTTAGTCACTGGCGTAGATGCATTCGCTCTGTTCACTGCCGGCGTGCTTGGCGGCATGAAGCTCGAGACTCTACACAGTAGAAATCAAATCGAAAGCGAGGCTCATTATGAATCAGAATATGTTGCCACTTCTTTCGTATGGGAGCATCTGCCCCTACAAGGATCTTGGAACTGTCATGTAGCAATTGCCTTTTGAGTTGATTCCTACCTTCTTGTCGCTGGTGTCTGACTTGTACTTTCTGTGTGTTTGGTAGAAGTCTCGGGGGCGAAGGATCTTTTTGTATGCACATCAGGTTTTTGGAACTTCACTGGATCGATCAAGAGGCCAGTTTAGTAATTGTAGATTGGTCATACTTTACACAGCCTTCTGAATCGAACAAAACATACGCGGAGACATTCACGAACTTCCAGGACTGAAGCAGATAATACAAAACTCGACAGACTAGCATCTACCGATACCTTCGAAGAATCGCTGGACCACCGGAGTTCTGATTGTCTTCGACACCGCGTAGTCTTTTAGCGCATTCACGGATGAGCGGCTCGGACACTCTGAAACCTTGAAGTCTAAAACTTGCGACGATATGGCGATGGCATACGAGGATGTACGTTTTGCAGTTCTTTTATTATCTGATTGATAGGCGTGAATATGGTGTGGTCAGAGTTGGATTATTTTTGAATCGACTCCAAGTTGCGAATCAAATTAGCACCTAAAGAGGTACCTGGAATAAAAATTGATCTGAGTTAGTGATCGTCATACCTTTTCGAGCAGCACTAGCATCCAATTTGGGGAGGTATCCTAAGCCGGCGTCGGGTTCAAGGTGGCCGTTTAGCGCTATGTTGTTCTTGATCCCTGGTATTACAACCGATTTTTTCGCATGAATAGTGGCAATCAGAGCTTAAGATGATACAAAAACGTCAGGGAGAACAAGGTACTAAGTGTTGTGGTCAACAAAAGGTTCGGTCACAAAATGTTGTTTCTTCAATTGGAACATTATTCATTGTACAGTGTCGTACTGACATCTAAGCGGACGGAGCTTAAGCTCGCAGCCTCAAATTTTGCTCCCAGTGTTGAGTTCTGATATTCAACTCTAAATAGACCATACTGGTAGAGAACTGCACATACACAGCCGGACAAAACCACCCATCATTGCAGGCATAGTAGCGTCAGTGCTTGTATATGGCACCTAACAATTTTATAGGCACGTCCACGCCACTGTGATACCACCCTGAACGGTCTAAGCACATCTTATCACAATCTCGAATTATCAAAGCCGCTAAAAATTGCACTTTTGATAGCATAGCCGATCGTGTGGATAGGATGAATATTCCAGTCTCAAGCATTCATGTTTGTTGATTTCCGATTTATCATAGTATTCGATGAACACACTGGCTTAACACAGCCCCCATACTTCTCCCACATAGCAGACGTTTACTCACTGTATATATATTTATGATAAGTGCATATACCTTGCACATATGATAATATGTAGCCTCTACATATATAATAAGCAAATAATACATAAGTGATATGCAAATAATCAACAAATTTATCAAGTTATTGAGACTACAAGTCAGCGATCGAATACTACGACTCACAATCATTTCACAGCAGAACAGCTCGTGTTAAGTGCCCAAAACGATCACTGTGTGTTTTAATAAACTGTATCAAGTGCGTGAAGTTTCCAACTACCTGAGCCCGCGATATTAGCGTACAGCATCTTTGTATACGTCTGACAGTACGCCGATTGCGTCGATCGTTGACGCTTTTTCTTCATGATACGTTGTATATATTGAGCACTATGTTTACATGTCAGTGGTTTGTACTACATATGTCTATAGTCTGAGAATTTTACAATTTATGTCATTGAGTTATTTCTTGCCAAGCAATGTTGCGAGGCAGTATGTATTAATCATTGAACTGTACGTGTCTACGTGATCTTCACTTGAAAAATGAACAAGAGACAATGAGTAGCAGGCTATGCCGCTATGTATTATATGAGGCTTTGCGCATATACACTTTGCGCGCCTTTTTTAACTACCCTAAACCCAAAAGACCTAAGTAATCGTAAACCCTAACCCAAAAGAGACCTGAAATTTCATAGTTGGGACTTGGGTACTGTCAAACCTCCTTTTTTGTCTACCTCTTTTACTGTTTACCTGGTTTTTGACCAATTTTTTTTAGATACATACTGGGAGTCAAACCCTATTTGCACTACAGTACATATGTGTGCACTAGAATCGCACGTGTGACTTGCTATACTCTCAAGAGAAAAGTGGAGTAGCATGTGTTTTTATGATGACCTATAAATGAAATACAATGTAATAAGGATAGCGGTAACACTCGCCTGTTGGGTTCGAGCGCGCAATGCATGTATCCTGGGGTGTTCTGGGTGCGGGATATAGTAGCCAGAGATATTTTGCCAACCAAGTTATAAATGCTTACCGCCAACAACTGAGCCCAAGTATACGCCATCAACTGAACCACGAATTAGATCAAAGTCGATGCTTGAACACTTTAATAAAAGAAGTGTTTGATATGCGCGTATGTACGTTACTAAACCAGTGTATGTACGTTACTGTATCAGGTATGTACCTCTATATATAAAGCTAAATATAGGCTCAAGTCACCAACTCTACTTGCCTAATTTTTGTCCACCTCTTTTTTGTCTACATACCTCTTTTTTTTTTTTGGCTACATTTGAGCCTGAAACGGACCCTGGTCGAAAATGAAAAAAATTACGGTTTTTAGAAGAAGGCTCTTATATTGTATTTTTTTTTAATAATAAAACGAAGGAAAAAAACCATAGCCTCCTGAAACATATGTAGCCTCTCCTAAAAATGAACACTGAAAATGGATCACAAAAGTTTACAACCCTACCTTACCCCGTTACCCCCCCCCCCCCCCGCCCCCCTGCGGTTATATCAATAAACTGGAAACCCTACATACTACACAAAAAATATTTATCAGTGTTTGATCAGCAATTCAGAATTCGTTGTGATGATTCATCGGAATAAGCGCGAGAAGCAACTCTCCTCACTCTTGTTGTGATGGAGTTATTTTTGCCGGGTATATAATGTATATATGTATTAACACGCATGAATATTTGCCGCACTATACACATACCACACAGCCACACGCCCACACCAGACAAATAGTAATATGTATATATATTTTTGAATTGTATTGGTATTCACATTATTTGGTCAACAATATTCTAAGTCTTGGTCGTAATTAGTTCTGATATCAGCAACGATGACGAAACCCACATCCAGCCTGCAAGAAAGTAAGTGCAGCTACTATCTAGCTTACATGCACTTTTGGTTGCCATATAAAGAAGCTATCGGTTCTGTTTTTCAACATTGTTCATTTGTAAAAGGTCAGCAAAATACAAATAATAAGAGTTTTTCTTTTTCATATCGATACTATAGTTAAACAGCTATGTCAAGGAGTCGCCTTCATCGACTTGAGAGCCGCAGATAAAACTAAATTGGTCACCACCCTTCTCGAAATCGTCGGTATGTAACATGTTGCAGAATTAGACATGGCTTATATAAAGAGTCTATAGCCTTGTATCAAGAGATCTCAGCTGATGATAAATGATCTCCAATTCTAGTTTTTGTATGTGTATGATTGCCGAGAAGGTCAGTGATACTAGACTATATAATTAGCATTTGGGATTCGATAGTATTATCATTTGTACTGCACTACACAAATGATATATATATATATATATATATACTTATGAGGGTATATGTCTATAGACCTACATGCATACATACATACATACATACGTTCAATCATGAGTTCTTACATACACACACACTCACTCACATAAATATACAT